TTATTTGGTGAGGAAGAAAAACATCTATCAAGTGCTACTGGTAAAGCCAAAGATGTAGGAGAGTTTGAGCTTGATGTCACCTTTGACATGAAGGTTTTCGATCCAGAATGGTGTGACGTTGAGGACCACAAATGAGCGGACAAGGAATCTTTTCTGGATGATGCTGATTTGGACTTGGAATGTGAAACAGACCCAGAGAATAAGCTTAATGATCTTGAAGGTGACTGCAATCTGGATGCAGTATAATCAGAGTGGGTTGAAGACGACAACAGAACCCTTGCTTTCTTTGAACGGTGTCTCTCTGGACTTTCACAATCCATCTTATTTTGTTTCCTATGTCTGAAAGTAATCTGTGCAGGGGGAGAATCTCCACGTCTAAGCAATCTCCGACTATTTCTTGAAGTGGATGCCTCCCTGTCGCTTTTCTGATGCCTCATTGGAGCAGCATCACTACTTTGACACGGCAATTGAGACCTTGTTCTGGGTCTCTTCAGCTGTGAGGGGCACTTCCTCATTTCATGACCCACTTTCCCACATGCATAGCATGCTTTTCGAGATTTTGAATAGCTGAGATGATCCAAAATTTTATGATGATCATTTTGTCCAAAGCCTGCTTTCTCTGGAGACTTCCTTCTAGTGGGTGAACCACACAAATAGAATGCGTCTTGAAGTTCATTCTGCTCCTTTTTGTCATCACTGTAATAAGGTTCATACCGGTCAAACTCCAATCTATTTTCTAAACCATTTTCATTTGATGGATCCGAAACCTGCTCTCCCCACCTATCATCTTCCATATGGTTCTTCCCACTAGCTCCTACTTCATGAGAATCATCAAAAACAGCATGATCTTTTTCCCCTGCATAATGGTTCAAATCATTGGAAGGGTAGCTTCTTGCTACATCGACCAGGTCAGAAGAACCAGGCTTTCTACCGTCACTATCAACTTTCTTGAATTTCATCTTGTGATCGAATTTACCATTTGACTTACCACCTCTATCAAATCGCAGCAAGGCTTGACGTTGCCTACTTGACCACGATAGGGTCATTGGCTCTCCACAGATTCTTTTGCCTTGAAGTGTTTTCAGAGCTTTTTCAGCACTTGCAGGGTAATCATAAACTACAAACCCGTATTTGTCTTTTATCCGTACAGTACACCTACCAAACCTTCGGAAAACACGTTCCAATTCATCTTTACGAATGCGAGATGACAGATTACCAAGATGCAAAGACATCTGTAGCATAAAACAAGAAAAATTTTACCTAAGGATTACAAAAACCTGAAAGTTACACCAAGTACTTAGAAACATAGGTACATATATGATAAGTGTAGACATACAGACGTAACATACGTGCATAAATTTGCACAAACAAGTGTTTAAAAAGTCTAAAATTGGTATTAAGGTGTTTTTGCACGAGGCAAGGGGTGAACCTCGGCTGCTTTGAAGTGTAAAGCTCAACATAAACCAATAAAATTTCAAATAATTACAAACATAGAAAATTACACATAATAAAAAATTAATCATTTAAAAATATCATTATTAATACCTTTTATTAAAACTAAAGGACTAACTAGCTATTAGACATAAAAGGGATTAGTAAAGCAGCCGCCAGCCAATAACAAATGAGTATAGTAATCACATGATAAGACCATTAATCTACAACTAGAACTAAAAGTCTAAAACAAAAGATGCAACTGATCAGTTATTTGAGAACTTCGTTTGCTTTGACTTAAAAGGAAAGAAATTCCAGAGGAAAGAAAACATAAGAATAGAGACATCAATAAGAAAAAATAAGATAAAGTGGATTGACGTTACATGTTGGAGGTTTCTAGCAATCAAAGAGTAGTAAGTTCTCTTGGGCGATCATAATTTAGTATTCTGTAGTAGGAGTACAAAGCTAGGCTAAGCACATTTCCTTCGCTCATTATTTTCTAATTTTCTCCAATCTTCTTTTCTTTTTTTTCTAATTTCTAGAGTTGAGGACTATTTAAACAATCTGGAGGAACCCCCAAAACGTGTTGGGAAAAATTACTAAAAAAGGACTAAGGGGTGCACGCCTCAGCCACCTCGAGCCATGCTGCATGCACTTTAAAATTAAGGTGTAAATCTTGACAAAAGGAACTCAAAGTGTAAGTTTTGAGGGTCCTAGTGAACACCTTGTACGACACACATTCAAGGCGTAGGTCTGCACACTTTTGAAAACATTGGCACCGACCAGAAAGTATCTATCTAAGGAGGGAGGATGCATATAAGGTGCGCAACCGTCTACTATAATCTGAAAAGTCAAGTAATTCCACTTATAAGTTCTTCGTGCTGAATGAAGTTGATTGTTTCTCTGCATCCACGGGAAAACCTAATAGAATCAGCTGTCTCCTATCATCTTGCTGAATAGAATCATGAGGAAACTATTGATCTATCTCTTTGTTAATGAACACCACTCCCTGACATTTCATTTAAATCCTAAAACTACAAGGATAATTTCTTGCACAGTAACAAGATATGTTCTCCTTGCATATCACTTTTCAATGTTGATATACTGATATTTTACTTCTTTCTTTAAAATGCATTATAAAATTGTCCTCGTATAGTAAAAAATTATGTAGAACACTTCCTCAGCATCCTAATATCAAACACAGAATATCACTAAATGCCAGTATTTATTCCATTAAACAGACCAAAGAAATTTGTCTGAATTTATCCAGCTTCAAACAGGACAACTTTCAGATGGGCATAAACACGAATGTGCGATTCAAGTTTTGGAATATAAGAAACAAAATGAATTCATGTTAGAATATAAAATTGTTCCTAGTTTGAATTCACAGCCCACCCATAATTCCTTTCTAATTACGAGCAGAGTTAACACATTGAGGCGGAGGAAACAGATTCTTAAGAGAAATCAATTAAACGTGATTTCTAAATCAAAAAATGAAAAACCGAAAAAAACATTAGTGAAACTATACACTCACTTGTTTTTCATTCAACCAATTTTTTTATTTTTTCACATTTGAGCAAGGTAATCAATATGATCTAAGTTAGCTTTTAACCCTTAGCAATTGTACATACAAATAAACCTTCAAGACACCACTTCGGAAGCTAAAAACCTATGTAGAATAAAGTCATCAATTTCTATCAATTATTCCTGAAATTAATCAGGAAAACATATGATAAATATAAATAACAATATTGATTTTAATTTAAATAATTGAAAAATTTTATACCTGGAAAATGGTTATGATTAACAATTATTTTTGCTCCGAGTGAAATCTGCACTGCAGCCGGCTTATGGCATTTGCGCTGTGAAGAAAGAACACCGAGTGAGTAATTTCCTGTTTTGGTTTTTCACTTTCTCGTCACTTCATTTTTTTGTTTTTTGGGTAATTGGGTTGAAGTCCTTGAGAGAATTAAAGTTGGAGTCCCCAATCTATGAAACTGTAGAATGTTGGTCCTCAGCCTATTATTTTGAGGAACTTGAGATTAATAACTCAATTTTTTACTAGAATGACGAATTTATCCTTAAATTTGATGAGATATATTTTATTTAAATATTTAAACCTTTATAATCAGTAACATACTTTTTTCAATTAGTGTATTAGAGAAAATATGTCTAGAATATATATTTATTGAGGATTTCGACCAATTAGGCATCATTTGATTTGAGCTACATCAAAGCAAATTCGCAAAAATTGACAGTCAAATATTATCGAGTGTAGAGCATGAGTACTACCACTTTAGCCCCTGTTTGACACACTCATTTTCAATTACACATTTATACAATAAAATATTTTGTACGTAAATCTACAATTTTTCCCTACTTTTTAGCCACGTCTCTTAAAAATCAATATTTAAAACATTATTTTTTGAAAATAATGGCCAAACAGGGACTAAGCCTTCAAAACAAAAAGAAGAATCAAGTTTCTTAAAGTTAAAATTATTTCAAAAATAAGTGTAATGGAAAATTTATAACTAAAATTGCAACATGATTCTCAAATGCCTTGATTGTAGAGGTTAAGGTCTAGCAAAGTGATAAAAATGACGTTATGAAATATTATAGGAGAGCTGATCAATAATATGAAAGGCAGACGCTTGTTCTTATATGACATTGAGAGTTCGATGCAAGCAATACATATAACCAATTCGATGTTTAAACATGCTGCATGCATGCTTAAGGATACATATGCACGTTTTTTTTTATTGTCCAAATATAATATAAATTTAGATAGAGGGCGGGAAATTCGAGTTGCGATCAATGACGAACTTGCTCCATAGACTCTTCTGAAAACTCTACACCAAATGCCGATTTAAAGTTTGACTATGATGTCAACTAAGACTTTGTAATGGATCCGAAAAATAGTAAATGATAAATAAATTACAATTTAAGCAATTGTTATGACGCTCGGTGGATAAAAGGGCCTAACATGCTTTGAGTGTGCTCGATTGGTTAATGCATGAATTAAAATTGTGAGTATTAATGAAAATTTAAAATATCTAAGGGCACTGTTGACCAAAATTTTAAAAATATGTAAGGGCAAAATGAAAATAAAATATCTCTCACATATTCACACTTTTTTTTTTATATTTTAGATGTAAATGAAAATTAGTGAAAAAGAAAAGATCAATTTTGAATGAGGTTTCATTCTATTATTCAAAATCAAAATAATGATAAATAACATTATTCTTGTCATTAATTTTTTCAATCGTATTTAAAAGTAAATGGAATTTAAATATTTATTAAAAATAAATTTCCAAAAAAAAATTTACTTCTAATTTTAGTATTTATTTATTTTTTTTTTAAAAAAGAAGCAACCTTCAAGTTAACCAAACGCGTTTTGTCCTGTTCCCCCAATAATTTTGTTGCTTTATTACCTTTTATCCACCCTTCTAAAGTCTCACTCGTTTTTTTTTCTTCAGATTCTGATTCTTCTGAGTCCTGGCTCTGCCTCTCAACGACTTCTCTCTTCAATCAAATCGATCTTCACTCGGAAAACTGATCATATATACACCATGACTCTTGGCTCTGCAGGATCCAGTGTTGTGGGTTCGTAGTAATCTATATCAAAAAGTTAAAAAGTTTCTTTATTTTGGTTTATTTTATAGCACTGTTTCTCGATTTTGTCCTGTTATCCCATCAAATCTTCGTGGGGAAGCTGATTATTGTCAAGTTGATTATTATTATTGTTGTTATATGGTGAATTGTTCTCGTGGTTATTGCTAAAAAAATTAGTTAATTTTTGATTTGTTTAGAAGAATAAATTAAGTGTACAACATTTATTGACAACAATGGTTAACACATATGTAAAAAACCGTTTTTTAAAAATTGATGAATATGATGATGCCAAATAGGATGTTGTCAACTAATATTGCACATATAGCATGGTTCTGTTTAGAAAACTGTCTCTGATGAATTTGAGTATAATACATAAAGAAGAATCTGGATAACTATTAATGAAATAAAATTCAATTCTCTCTTTTATGACAAAGAAAAGTGTTACACCATGAGTAGAATTCATTGTTGAAGAAAAGTAAACTTATTCTCCTTGTTGCCATAGCTTGTGCGATTGCAAAGTTTTCTTTTCTAATTTCCACGAGTTGTGGAATTTCAATTCTCTTGATTGGCAGGATTTTTGAAATTTCCAAGAATTGCTTTTTTGATTGACAAGCATCGTGGGATCTTTATTCTTGTAATTTCCAAGTTTTCTTTTTTGATTTCCATGAGCTGTGGGTTTCATACTTTCAATTGTTGGGTTGTGTTGACTTCCCCTTTTTATGTTGGTATAATTGTTACCGTTGATTCTTAGAGAATCAAAGACTTTACCAGGCTCTATATAGGTGGCTGCTTTTATATTCAGTACCGTTACTGTATTTAGTTTCTACGTTTTTCATGCAATACTTTGCTTAATGTCTGGTTTTTTGAATTACCCAATACGATCAATGGTGAAGGGATACTGGATCTGTAACATTTTAAGGCTTCATAATTAGTTTGGTGTATTATTTGTTTAATTGAGGTGGTTTTGTACATGAATTTGATCAATTTATTACAGTATTAGAGTGAAGTTTTTTCTTGCGGTGTAGGAGAGAGGTGGGAATGGCGTTTGGAATTGTGATTGTGATTGTTTCATTTTTGGCGTTTAAGGAAACTAAATGAGTAGATCTTATGTCCAGCCTCCCAGAATTACTACCTTCTTTCTTTGTGTTTTGTATTCCTTTTTTGGCTTGTGAAATATCTTCAAATATGATATTATTGATCGGTGTGCAAGTTAATTTGCATGCCCTGTTATTATTTCAATGATATTTTGGTGCTGTTTTATTTGACAAGATAATTTGACCTTTTATAGTTCATTGGAAATTTAAATATAAATCCGGTCACTTTATTTTACAGAATTTATCCAATTTCTTTTATGGTTCGCTTGTTGGTTTTATTTTGTCACCATCTTGTAACTCAAGAATGTACGTATATTTAGTCTTTAATTAGGAGCCAAATCAGTATTTATTAGCTATCTAGTACTAAGTGAAGACATACAATGAGTGAGATGTATGCTTGCAGAACACGTGTTTAATCTGTTAAAGAAGCAACCCTGAACAAATTAATAGTTACCCCATCTCAAATGAGTACCCCCTTCCATTTTCAGCATGTCTTGGAAAGTTATACTTTTTTTATAAAAGCAGCTTATTCTCAATTACATTATTTCCATATTGCGTTGTCTAAATTGTGTTACCATTTAAATTTTAGATGCTTTTTGTATTCAGTGAAATCTAAGGTCATGCATTTATGTTATGCATGGAAAGGTAAAACTGGGAACATGACTAAAAAGTTGTATTTCCATCATTTTTCCTAATTTTTTTGTCAAGTTTACCTAGGACATTTGATTTGAGACAAACAGCTGTATTTTAGAGAGGATACTACAATAGTTTTCTGAGGTCGACTTCATATACTGCATTAAACATCGATGGGTGACTGTTTCATATCCAGACTTTTAGAAATCTGGTTATTTTTTGTTCGAGTCATCGAGTTCATATACAGTATCAACCATTGATGGTGACTATTTCTATCCAGACTTTGAGAAGTCTGATTATGTTTTGTTCTAGTCTATGCTTTCATGATTTGTTTCTGATCAGTTTTGTTTATGGCTGTAGAGTATGATTTTAACTTACAGATAAAAAATGGACTTTAATTTATTTGATCTTGAGCCTTTTACTTTCTATAGGAGATGGGATGTTTACATACCTGTTAAAAATATAATGTATAGCATCTCATATCTTTTAGGTTCCTTGCAGTCCCTCGAAATTTCAGATTGCTGGAGGAACTGGAGCGTGGAGAAAAAGGAATTGGAGATGGTACTGTGAGCTATGGAATGGATGATGGAGATGATATTTACATGCGATCCTGGACAGGCACCATTATAGGTCCTCATAATGTGAGCATTTTATCCTCTTTTTAGCACTTGGTTTTGCATCTTCTGCTTTGAATTGTAAATGTTATGGATCAATGTGTAATCAACTTTATGTTACTTGGAGATTATGATTTTATTTTAACCAGTGTCCCTCCTTTTTGACGCTATGTAACTGTTTTCCTCAATGTGAGGTTTTTGGCCTTGAAAAGAAAGATAACAAGTTCCATTTTTTCGTATATTACTATAGTCAAAATTGATTGTTCTCTAGCATAATCTTTCTTTTATTCTCTAATATATAATGACATAAGGATGGCCTATTATCCTTTTTGGAGAATAATGAAGAGAGTTGTGGAATGAAGTAAATTTCTATACTTCTAATTCTGGCAAACGAATTAAGACGCCGAATATGAATGAGAAAATCTAAATGAAATTTTGAATCAAGTTCTGGATTTTCTTTTTTCATTGTTCCCTGTAATAATATCTTGGGGATACATTGCTATAGAGGATTTTGTAATCAACAAGCAAATGAGGTTGTGGCTATTCATGTCACGATTGATATACTAATATTTTAATGGGTGCCATCAGATAATGTTATAATGATACTAATTGTAGCACAAGTTGAATCATCTTAGTTCAGCAGATGTGTGAATCTGTTACATGAATACGATTTTCTTCTCGGTCCTTAACTACCAGTGTTCTTTTTGGAATCTTTGCATTTCTTCATATGCAGCATTGTCGATAATAGATGTATTCTTTTTATGGCGAGGTGATTCGACATTACTCTCATCAAAGCATATTAGTAATAAACCTCTAATGGATTTGGTAGTATGGAATTAATTAAACATTCTACAGAATTTGGTAGAGTGTTGAGTTTGATTTTGATGAAATAATTATATTGTTAGTGTAAAAGTGTGATATCTTGTTTATTGTTTTATTGAACTTAACCTGTAACTTGTAATAAAATAGCTTAAAGTACCTTATTTTTTTGGGCTCAGTCTGTACACGAATCTCGCATATATCAGTTGAAGCTATTCTGCGACAAAGATTATCCAGAGAAACCTCCAAGTGTTCGCTTCCATTCTCGGATCAACATGACTTGCGTTAACCGTGAAACCGGAGTGGTAAGAAAATTTGATCTGGTCTTTAAGTTGATAGTGTGAATATTTGTTAACAAATTGGAATCGCTATATCCTCAGCTGTTGAGTTAGTAAAAATAGATCTAATTTTTTTCACATGCATTTATTTGCTCATCAGCTACCACCAACATCGTAATTTGCATTGAAGAGATTAAATATAAGGCGCTGAAAAGAACATTATATTTCTGGTTTTCTTCTCTCTCTTCGTGGAAGAGTGCGGTGACAAGTGGCCTGTCTGACCTTCATAACTTACTGTTACCATTTACCTTGTAACTATATAAAGATTGGAGATCTTAAAGTTTCTTGGTTGTCTACATTGGATAGATATAGAAAACATTGTAGATCATCAGTATATTCACATAAATTGTGCCCTTTCCGTACATAAATTCCGAAGTCGGTATCTTTTGATCCTATGTTAGTTGCCGATATTCTACAATAAAAATGTTTATTGTTGGAACAATTTGTGCGGTTCAATAAAATATTTAACTTTGTCTGAGATTGATTTACCCGTCTTGGAGATGAACTTACTCGTATTCCATTCTGGGTGGTTGCTTGAACCTTGCCTGATGAGGATCATACACTGCTCTAACGACTTTGGCAGTGAGCTTGAAAGTCCACCTGTTTTTGGATGATACAGTTGAAATATTTTACCGTACACAACATTTTAATGTGGGATGCTACCTTATTTGAGACAGGGATCAATAAAACGTCTAATCACACAACTCTGCTTATCATGGCGAGTTTCTATCATTGAGCTGATAAATGCAAATTTCCCAATTCTGTCATACTATTGATTGTTGGTGTACGGTGTTCACTTGATATAGGTGGAAGCGAAGAAATTTGCAGTTCTGGGAAACTGGCAGCGGGAGTACACCATGGAACATATACTGGCGCAGCTGAAGAAAGAGATGGCGGCTTCACACAACCGTAAGCTGGCCCAGCCTCCCGAAGGGACCTATTTCTAGCGTAAAGATGATATATTGGACTTATATATCGACTATTAGTTTTTTGATGTGAAAAGATAAAAGGGGAATGCCCCTGAAAAGGGTTCTTCTCTTGCATTCTTGATACTGTATTCCTCCGTGAACGTATTGATGTGGTTCGAATGATTAATGTGGTTTCTTTTGTGTGCCAATATAATTGTGTTTTGTGGTTTCGCTGTGCCATGATAATTGTATTTTGAGAAAATTAAGTTGAATTTCGACAAGAACATGGCTCTTTTAAGATGCTTATCTCACGCGTATTATGAATTGCACAGCTTTTGTCGGTGTCTCAAATGGCTGTGATTGGATCATTCCAATGTGCAGACTGCCCCTTTTTCGTGGTTTGTTTTCTTGGTATTTGCCATTTTGATCCCTGCACGATACCATTTGGTCTTGGATTGTAGTGATTGCGACAACCGCCACAGCCAGTCGTACAACACCGTGATGCAGCTTTCTCTCAGCGGCATCACCTCTCTGTCGTTTATTTGTTTATCGTATTTTACAAGGAAATTTGGGCCGAGGAGATTTTTTTTTCCCTTTGATTAGTTATGTTATGAGAGCGAGACCGTCTGAAAGAGACACACAGGGCAACTCAATGTATGTCAGATGTTTATTTGTTCCAAATTTTGTTTCTCTGAATTGTTGGTGGCGACAGGATGGTGGTTAGCCGGTGGTTCCTGCGGTTTAGGTGGTGTCCCCTCCCTGCTCCGCCACCATATGGGGAAATTAGAGGGAGAGGGAGAGGGAGTGTTTCTAACTAATTAATAACTCTTAGCTAGAAAAGTATCGTTATAAGATTCGTAGCTCACATAAGTTTTGGTCGATTCCTATAAAACCACCGTAACACTATTATATAATGTATGGTTTGTAGGTTACTACGAGATCACCAGCAGAATTTTAATTTCTTAACTTGAAGAATTTATACGATTAAAGAACTACAGATTACAATAGGAAAAAATAGAGATGTTTTTCTAATCGACGATGCTTGCAAGTGCACGGGATCGTAGACAAGTAATGCATTTATGAGTAAGATTTCATTCTATGGAAACTACGTATTTAATCTAGTGTTAATTAATACTAACTCTAATCGAATAGTCAAATTGTGTTTGTGATATTACACTAATTGTCTAATTAAATTAATTAATGAGCAATTAAGAAGTTTTGTAAATTTTATTAAAATGCGAGACTTTAAATCCCCCATATTAATTCATTTTAATATAATTCAATATCGTGATAATATTTATTTATTCTTATTGATCAATGGTCTTAATTCATTTAACAATGTCGCTCGAGTAAAATTAAAATTATCATCTCATGTATCTTCTTATATCTCTATGAAATGTGCAAATGTGAAAGCATGCATTAAAATGTTGGAAAACCCATTGAAATCATGCGAGGTATAACAATATATCTTTATCTTCTATTGGACTCACAACAATTATAATAAATGTGTTGTCTTTCTTATTATTTCTCTCGAAATTGATAAAAATCACACATCAAATAATTAGTGATCAAGTAATTGAAAAAATATTAAATCTTATAACAACAATTTAATAACAAACACATATTGAGCGTTAAATTATTGAAATTCATATTAAAATTTCATAGCAAGTGTTCATTTATGTCTTAACGACTGAAAATCTAGCTTAGCATTACAAAGTTACAAACATTCATATTTGGATTAAAAGACATCACCCGAATTTGAGATATATGAAAAAAATTGAAGAGACCACGAAATCTTGAATCTCTTTAATCTTCCTTCATTAATCTCCAGTAGCACGTCCATCTTCTTTGTCCAAAAATCAAGATTTAGTTTTCAAATGATGAACTTCTTATTTCTTACCTCTTGATTTCTCCCAAAAAATGACGATTTGGCCTCCCTTGATTGCAAGATTGATGTATTCTTTGATATGAAAGGTATCTTACAATGTTAGATGGAGTTGTGTACTTATGGAGGCCAAACTTAGATCAAAATTCGCGTCCAAGATGGTACCCATTAGAAGTTTCAATCAAATAAAGGAAAGTACCATGTTTATCGGATTATACATGTATTGATATGATCCGGGACATGCAATAAATTCGCGAGTTTCCTTATTTCATTAGAGTTTTAATTTGGATGGATATCTTATGTAACCTTTTAGCATCAATTTCGTGTAGACTATGATTTTTATAGTTTCTTATAAATAATTCACATTTTACTCATTGTAAATATATATTATTTTGGTGATTAATATCATAATTGAGGTTTCCCTCTCATTGGTTCTTGATTGAACTTTCGAACTTATCAAATATTTTAAATATTTGTGGCGTTCAAAATCTTAGAACTTATCAAAGGATTGGACACCCTTTATGGTGTTCGCAAATCGAGATTCTTGTTTCAGCATATCAACGGGTCTAAGGTTTAGTATACTTTAAGTTCTTGATTCGTGAGGCTCGGGTCAATATTCTACCGTCTACAACCTGAATTTGAGTTTTCCCGATGTTTTCGACCAATTCCGTAAGTTCCACATGATTCCCCTTCCCGTGATCACGTCATTTGGTATCAGAGCTTGGTCTCTAGATTCATGTTCTTTATCTTTTATCCCACTTTGATTCTCGTGTGTTTTTCACATCTTGAATCATATATATAATTTTTTTTTCGGAATTTTGTCAAAAAAAAAAAAACTACGTAAATGATGGATGGTGATTGGGGGCATATTTTCCAAACTCGATATTTTGTGGGTAGTACGGTATGCAATTTGGCTATTGCTAATGAGTACATATCAAGCTTGGCTAGTATCACGATAGTTGAAAATTTGGGATTACCTTTACAACAACACTCTTGGCCTTATAGCATGACTTGTTTGAAGGAGTGTGGGAAAGTAGATATGACCAAGCATGTTCTATTGAATTTCACCATTGAGAGATATAGTGATGAAGTTTGGTGTAATGTAATGCCATTAAATTCTTTTCATATTTTGTTTGGGAGATCTTAGAGGCATGAGATGAAGGCTGTTTATAATATGGGAAGGAACATGTATAAGTTTCTTCAAGATGGGGAAAACATGACTCTGATTGGCTTGACACTAGAACAGTTCTTTGCAGACCAATGGAAGGTGAGAGGTGAAACAAGAAAAGAAAAAGCAAGAGAGGGAGATGATCACACCGAAAGAGAACATCAGGGCTGAATTGTAAGAGGAGCCTAGAGATAGGAAAGTTGAGATGGGGGATGGTGAATTGAAAAATGCAATTGATATTGGGGAGAGTGAACAAATAAAAGAGGAGGAGCACGAGCAGGCTGGTAAAGAAAATTATAGAGATGGTTCAGCAGGAAAATGAAAAAATTCTAGAAATGGTTCGACAAGACAGTGAGGAAATAAGGGAAAACGTTGAGCAGAATGTTGAAAATATTGTGGAAAGCGAAGAGAAGCATCAGAAGGGTATCATTGTTAAGCATGATGTGGTGGAGGCGATACCTCATGAGTACGATGAACAATATTTTGTTTTTGGATAAACTAACAGTTTCAACCGTGCTTTGCTTAATTCTTTCTTACAGGCTGATATCTGTACTTGGGAGTTCATATCGCAACAAATATGGCTGATTGAGTTCGTGCTGCAATACGTTCATATATACAAAGTTGATGGGTACCATGCATTGATCCTATGCCAGGAAGGGAAAAGTTTTTCATTTGATCCAGGTGTTACGGTGATAAAACTCATAGCAGGTTGATTATCCCCTACGCGATCACAATGCATGGATTCGAGGACGAATCCTTTCGAAGAGAGAGGGGATGATATGATCCGAGACAGACAATACATAAAAGATACGGATTTCCTTTTTCGTGAATTTCCTTATTTCATTAGAGTTTTAATTTGGATGGATATCTTATGTAATCTTTTAGCATCAATTTCGTGTAAACTATGGTTTTTATAGTTTCTTATAAATAGTTTACATAATACTCATTGTAAATATATATTATTTTGGTGGTTAATATCATTATTGAGGTTTCCCTCTCCATCGGTTCTTGATTGAACTTTCGAACTTATCAAATATTTTCAATATTTGTGGCGTTCAAAATCTTAGAACTTATCAAAGGATTAGACACCCTTTGTGGCGTTCGGAAATTGAGGTTCTTATTTCTGCATATCAACGGGTCTAAGATTTAATATATTTTAGTTTCTTGATTTGTGAGGTTCGTGTCAAGATTCTACCGTCTACAACCTGAATTTCTACTAATTCCGCGAGTTCCACTCGATTCCCCTTCCTGGGATCACGTCATGTACGATCGCACATGCATATAGCATGTGGTCGCACGGACATACGTCGTTAATCTTTGATGATGCCAAATAACCCTTGCGATCGCAAGGGGTTCTCCTTGTGACCGCAAAGGGTAATGTTTTTCCAAACTACAATTTGGTCCTCAATCTCGTTCCTTTGTTAAGTTTGAGTCATTTCTTCATGTAGTTTTCATTATTTGTTTTTAATTTCATCCAATTGACTTTGTGTGATCTTCAATCATCATTCCTTGATTCGAATCAACATTTTTTTTTATTTTTTATCAAAAGTCATCCAAACCTGAATATATTCTATAAATAATCAATATTTATCCAAATTAAGTAGCAATCCAATCAACTTGACTTTTAAATATTTATTTTCGATGGCCTGAACTGGAGTAAAAATCATTCCTATCAATTTCCATTATTTAGTGCACGTTATCCCAACTTATAGTTACTTATAGGTTAGTCAAACTCTATTTTTATCCACATTTATAATTTTTACCTATTTTTTAACAACACATTCTTTAGAGCTCACTACTTATAAACTTCGAAAAATATGCACATTGTCCATATCGATAAATAATTCAAAAGTTTGAAAATCGATTAGTCGTCGAGCGGAGTACACAACAATAAATGAATCATCAAAAGCTCCCCAAAATCTGCAAAATTTGATTTCTATCATTTAATTCTAATACTTGTGGATGTACGTATGAAATTAAAGATCTCAACGGCCACTTCTTAATCAATATTTATTATATTGCTTAAACATCACGCTTTAACCCCACCCACAATAAAAAGAAAAAATCCACACGCGCGCACACGCAAACTTTGACACATACACGATAGCTATCAATGATCAATAATTACAGCAACGGTATAATCAGGGACGGATCTAGGACCAGATTATAAGTCGAACTAATACGTAAAAAAAAAAAAATTACACATGATTTTGTTTTCTAACTAAAAAAATCAATGGGCCCTGTTCCTGGGTATAATTGCTCATTTATTATTGTTCGATCTGTTTAAAAGCTCAAACAAATCATCGGAATTTCAATAACAAAAATTATCGAGCTCAACGATCTTACGGAAAAATGGTAAATAATTTTGAACACTATTTTTGTAACTATTGGGTCGAGTGGAGTATAGAATAAGGGCTGATTCTTTCTTTTGAAATTTTCACACGAAAAATGAAAGAGTTTTGTCTTATAGACGCAACTCCACCTACAATTATCATATCAGCGATAAACGTTTAAACTATTTAAAAGATATGAACGAATTTATTATTGGATAAAGCTTATCTGCCAGAAAAAATCTGACATGCGGTTTGATAGATTCTCACATTGCTGTGGGACCCGCTGCAATAAAAAATTTCCAAAAAATTGTGGGCCCTCCCCCTGGTGTGAGTGATCTATCAGGGTGCATGTCACTTTTTTTCTGTTATTGTAGCTGTCTCCTTTATTATTTATCTCATGTTTGGTAGTAATTTTAAATGTATATAAGTAATGAATAGTATGGAATGTACAAATAATAGGTGAATAGTAAGTTATAAGTCTTATGAAATATATAGGTAAAAAGTATGTTAAATCAGTTTTTAAAAAATTAGATTTACCAAATATGCAATTATTCTCGACAACTACTTTTTTAAGATCAAATTTTATTAATGAACTAAGAATTAAAAAGTAATTTTTTCATAAACGATTGATCACAATTGTTGATGTACTCTCGAGTCTCTAAAGAAGAGAAGAATGTTAAAGCATTTTTAGACAATTTTCTAAATACGATATACTCTTTATTTTAGAGAGTAAATACATAAAATGCGCTCAAAAAGATTCTATATTTAACTTTTTAAAATAAAGAGTTGATTTTACTCTCCAAAATAAAATAAAGAATCTAAATAGAGATGACTGTTGGGGTATATAAAAAAATTACTCTAAATTTAAATATGATCTTAAAACAATAGTCGTGTATTATATATATTTTAATTTGGTGTCAAGTTGCTAGTAGTCGAGCAATAAATCTTGTTAAAATTTGGCGCAATGCCACCAAAGGTCGTGTGATAAACCGATAAACCTTGTTAAATTTTGGCATCGTATCGCTACATGCACCTATAGGTTGAGATTAGAGTCATGCTATGTGTACATAGGGGTTCACATAATGTGAGTGGGGTAGGGCCCATGCTACAGTATAATGGGCCTCACCCCACTCACATTATGTGAGCCTCTATGTGATCTATGTACACATAGATTAATCCTTAGATTATATATCTAATTAGTTTTATGTTGCATAGACTAATGTTTCGATTGTGCTTAAAAGTGATTAGTCGAAAGTATTTCCAAGTTACTTATTTTGCATTTAAAAGAAGTTAAAAAAAAAAATTACACAAACTCTCACTTGTATTTAGAGGAACATTTCTATCGTTATTTTGAAATAGTATAGACCCCACCAACCTTCTCTTCTAAGTCCAAATTCCCTCTCTCCTTTCAAATCTTCCATTGAATTACCCTATCGAAGCTTTTAATGCTCAGACAATTAAAAATACACACAAATTTCAAACCATATTTCTTCACACTGCAACCCCCACCTCCACCTACCTAATGGGCAAAAAACTTAAATTTCCTTTTCTTATCAAAGCCACCGAAACCGCTGCCGCTAACTCCGCCGCCATGAGTTCTTCTTGGCCATGGCCAACTTGTGTCAACAACCCAAAGACCCTTTCTTTTCGAGCTAACAACAATGAGATATTCAAGACTATGAATTCTGCCTACCTTGACAAAACCACCATTGAAGAAATTCTTGACACCCCAGATTCACTTTTTAGCGTTAGCAACTCTTTTGATGAAAGTTTTTCACGTGCATCAAGAAATGATGAATACATTATCGAGATGGTGATTCGAGATTTAAGATCAGATAGGTTGTTTTTTGAGCCTGGAGAGACAAGTTCAATCCTTGAAGAAGCCAAAATTGACGAGTCTTTTCTTTATAAAGAAAGTACAGTAATGGCTTTGGAATCCAGGGATCCCTGTGCGGATTTCAGATTATCAATGGAGGAAATGGTGGAGGCTTATGGATTGAAGAATTGGGAATGTCTTGAAGAACTTTTAACTTGCTATTTGAGAGTTAATTCAAAGAAAAATTATGGGTATGTTGTTGGAGCTTTTATTGATTTACTGGTTCATCTTGAATTTGTGGCTTCAATTTCCACGTCTTCAACGGATCATGGACAGTGTTCTTCATCTTCTTCGGCTGCAACTCAATATTCTTTCAATTCTCCCTTTTCATTTTCTTCATCTACAAATTCCTCAACTAGTCCTCGGTTATCTTCATTAGAACATGAAGATCAGATCAACGAGAGAAATGTTGACACCGCTTCGTCTGAATCAGTCATTGTTCAGCAGGGGTCCAGTTCAAATACAGTCTTGCCTCTAGATGCTTAATTGTTTGAACTGTAGAGAATTTGCAGGAATGAATTGTGGCTTGTAGAAGATGACAGTTTTTTATTTTGACTATGAAAATTACTGTTTTCCAGAAATTGATGATTTTTTTTTTGTTTGCTCCATCAGGAAATTTTGTCTTACTTGTGCTGATTGCTAGAACAAATCTATTTCTCCATGCATGATACAGTTTTCTGATTTAAGTACTGTAGTAATTACTGTTTTTATATATACAGTGAGCCTAGATGTTAGAAAATCTTATTTCAGTTGTTCAGTCAATATCATGCTGAATCCCATGTCGGTTTTAATTTTTTATTATGCCCATATTTCAATTGTTCAATCAACTAGCTATAGTTACCGATTGAGGTCCAAAAAATCACTTGACCAACTCATACATCTCTAGCTGTGACAATGTTGATAGAATTTTGAAACTTGCTTCGACTTCAAAAACCTTTCTCGATTTTTATATTATTGCGCAAACCAATGCTATTCTCAAATGAATTTTGTTCTTGATTCTTGTTCCGCATCATATGGAAATATTTATTTATTTAAATATTTAGATCTTCAAAACACCGTCGCACATGCAGACGGGTTCATTTTCATCAAAGTTCTAACACATGCAAATTTTTCATAAATGAGTGACAACAATACGTGATTTTTGTTTGATGCAATATTGAACCACCTTCGATATTTCCCCGAGCTCTCTTGTAACCTAGAATTTGAATGCATTTAGTTATTTCTTTTCTTTTTGAAATGAACCATAGGTCAAATGCACAGACATTACGCAGCAGTTATTTTACAGCATTAATGGGGGTGATTTTTTCCTTGGAATTCAAATTTGAGAGTAAGTATCAGTTGATAGCAACAATACTGGGATTAAGCATGGTGGTCCTGTTATATATCTGCAGCATTATCACGAACCAGAAACTGAGGAAAAATATATATTCTTATAAATCTGTCTCTATATGTATCGTTAACTGGAACATGGGCAAGAGATGTTTTTCAAGAATCAGAAATAAACTCTACAATAAATTGGGCAAAACAAAACATTTGCAGTACTGCTAGCACTTTTCTGGTCAAGGTTAAAAGTTCCTTTTCTTTTTCTGTCTTTTTTGGGATAAAATTAGGAAAAAAAAATGTTATTGTTGATGTTTGAATTTTAAACCATTTCAAAACTGCAAAACAACAGGTTGGTTGGTTTGCTCGACTATCATTTGGATTAGGATATGGTTGTCGATTCAACTCTAATTAGGCTCGGTAACTCGTAAGTTTCTGACATCCCGAGCTTGTCATTTATATCAAATGTGTTGCAAGTTTTATTTTCGATGTACTAACGTGGTTGTTCTTGTCAAATCAAGAATCCACATAATGATTTTCAGAGGAATGTGTGATTAAAAAGTAAAGAAAAATTTTGGATTTACGTGCAGAATATTTTTATTCTCGTGAATGTATATTGAAAATGAGTATGTAAAAAAAAGAATTTAAAAATAATGGTTATCAAATAGGGCTTATCTTCACAGCCTCAGTCCTCACTGGCTTAAAAAATTTGAATCCTGTTGTATATGTTGAGTAGCAAAGAGTTAGAGGAAAAAACAAGAAAACAGCATATTCTTATGAATGTTGGGGTTGGGGTGTCTCACTCTTTGTTGTTATTGGATTTACAGGAAAATCTGATTTATAGACTGGAAAACTATACATAATACATGGATTCACTCGTGAGATTAGACATTATCGAACAAGAAGTAAAACAAATTATACTGAGATTCTTCGCATTTAACATAATATCAAGTTGGTCGCCAAACTTGCTCAATCACATATATAAAGAGTCCAAATATCTATACATCGTCATGTGATTCTCATTGATACGTACCCTATCGACGACTTCTAGGCACTACTCTGGATTCGTTAATAAATTCGCCGAATAACTTGCTTATTTTAGAACTTATGGACCAAATTACTACTTGAGCAATAGGTTGAGACCAATGCTGCAATTTTTACCATTTCTATAAGACGCTACAATTAGTTAAAATTAATTAACTTCCTTCTAGAATAAAAATTGATTTAATTAATCTAGCTTTAAAAACTTGGGATCATAGGCCAAAGCTAAAAAATAGAGCAGCAATTTCATGGAGACATCTTAGCATGAAGTGCTCCACTTTTCGTGTTGATTCTCCCAATAATTAAGGATAAATATAAATTAATTAATTGTCAATCTTCGACATTAAAATGTTTTTGGTTTAATTAATGTTAAATATAATAAATCTCAGAGCCTACAATTATTGCCGAACCTTCTAAACTTGTGCTACAGAATTTTTTTTTTTTTTAAATTAAAATCTCAACTTAAACGAGGAAGAATTTAATAGAAAATTCAAAGTAAATTGGTTTATAGAAATATTTTTAAAAATCTATGGCGTGTTTATAACATTAAGAGTTAAAGTGAACATGGAATTAAGAATGGAAATATGTAAGATGCAGGTATGTTTATCGGCTTCTTGTGTTTAATCGTATACATTTTAACATGCTAAACATGTTCCAAACGTTCGTAATTTAATTATTTTGTTCACAATTCATGTGTATGGTTAGAGTAGGGGTACAAGTGTCATTCACACTAAACCCTAATTTACTTTCCTTTTACAACCCAAAACAACTTCTTAATTTCTTGTAATGAAGCAATCAATTTCTTAATTAGGACAGGGTTATAAATCTTCTCATTTTTATAGGGTTGAACAAAAGCATCCATTTATTATATTGTTGTTTATTCTAACATATAAAGAGCAGTGTTCTAAGATGCGTAACACGTGACAATGCGTGGAGGACAAGCTATGGGCTATACGAGTTTAGATGAGATATATGCATAAAAACACGAAAAAAATGTGTTTTCTTAATTTAATATTATTTTAATTTTTAACCAATCAAAAAATCATTTAATAATTAAAATGGTAATTAGCACATAACGTCCCCACCTTTCATTGTTATTGTAGAAAACGTGCATACCTTTCATTTTTTTGACATTTTCACCATTATTTCCACCCCTCATTGCGCAAAAGGTCATTTTCACTTATTTTTTCAATTAAAAATTATGAAATGACGAATATACTCATCTTTTTAAATAAAAGAAAAAGAAAATTAATTGCAACCATAATATCAATTCTTTTTAAAAATAGCAAATAAGTCACAAATAAATTATTAAAAGGGTAATTAGTACATAATGTCCACATCTTTCACATTATTGCGAAAAAAAGTCCATACATTTCAATTTTTGACATTTCACCCATAATTACACATTTAATTACGCAAACCATCATTTAAATCCAATTTCATTCAATTTCTCAATAAAAAGCTGTGAAATGACGAATATACCCTCCTATTTAAATAGAAGAAAAACATTTTTTAATTTTTAATTCTTTAATAATTTATTTGAGACTCGTTTGCGCTTTTATTTAAAAATTTAATAATTTATTGGGGACTTGTTTGCTTTTTTTTTAAAGGACTATGATTACAATTAACTCTTTAACTTTTTATTTAAATATGATGGTACATTTGTTATTTAACAGCTTTTTTATTGAAAAATTGGATGAAATTAAGAGTGAAAATGCAAAAAAATGAAATGTATGGATGTTTTTCGAAATGTATAGAAACATTATATACTAATTACCCTTTTAATAATTTATTTGTGACTTATTTGCGTTTTTAAAAAAATTTGGGACGGTGATTGCAATTAGTTTTTTTGTTTTATTTTAAGAGATGAATATATTCGTCATTTCATAATTTTTAATTGAGAAAATAGGTGAAAATAACATTTTGTGCAATGAAATGTGAAAATAAGGGTGAAAATGCCAAAAAATGATAGGTATGAACGTTTTACACAATAACAATGAAAGATTGGGATGTTATTTGCTAATTACCCATAATTAAAAATAATACCTATCAAACATTTAAAACCGATTTATAGAAATTTTATACATTTTTTCGAAAGTTTTCAACATGAAGATAAGTTTCAAATGTAAATCAACCTCGAAGTTTTAACTTAAAAGAATTGTAAAAAAAAAATTAATTAATTAAATGTTTAAAAAAATAATAATAATACGTGCCTAAGCGCGCATAATCGTGCCTGGACACGCATTAGCAGTCAACGATTACTATTGACCGCTAAATAAGAAATCAAGCTACAATCGTTGACCGCTAAATAAAGTGGCTAGACATTTCCACCGCACATTAGCAGTCAACGATTGCTATTGGCCGCTAAATAAGGCGTCAAGCCACAATCGTTGACCGCTAAATAAGGTGGTTTGGCGTTTCCACCGCACATCATGTGTAGGCGACGCCTTGACGCGTCTTTTAGAATTCTTCTTGTCAAACAAAATACTTCCAAAAAGTTATAAAACCAAAAGTAACTTCTTGATTTAATAAAAAAATTTGGCTTTTCAAAATAATCACGAGACCAGACCTAAAATCCTATAAATTACATTATGAATTTTTTATTTTTTATCTTGGACAGATAAATCAACCAATTCTAGGGCACTTAATCTGCAGGCTCTAACTTGCCAATACTCAAAACATGGGGAGGAGTGAGGACACGTATTTTTTTCAGTGTAATTAATGTTTGAGCCCATTTTTTCGTGTAAAATGTACTTTGGAATAGTAGATTGATAAAAAATATCTTGTTAAAAAATAAGAAAAGTTTTTGATTTACGTCTAATATTATTTTATTGAAAAATCTGTAGTTGAAAAGAAAAAAAGAAAAATGTATTTTGACAAAAATAAGGATCAAAGAATGGCTAAAATTCATTTTAGGTCATTTCTCCATAATGAGCCATTAAAGAGATTTTCATTTCCAAGAAAAATCGCTTTTTTCATCAAAATCATAATCCAAACGGAGCCTGTGTTTACTTCTTTCTTGTCTAATTTTCACAATCAACGCATTCCAAAATGGCCCGACGTCCAAAATTGTTCTCTCTCTTTTGAAGTATGTGTGTATATATATATTTTTTATTTTTTAAAAA